GGGGGTGGGGGGGTACGCTAACCCACCAAGTAAGTACCACTGAAAAATGTATTGTTTTACCGGACTGGGGTTGAGGAAATGAGGCAAGAACAGCACATTCACCCTTGTTGTTTTCTATAGTTGGCTTAATAAAAACATTTGATAATAAAAACAATAGAGGCACGATTCTCATACGTTATTGTGTTGACAGCAGTACACTGTTGTAGACTGTCCTCTTAGACCGCTGCTAACAATGGGTTTCATCAGGGATGGAACAAATGGGGCACTGTTTTCACAGAGACTAACAGAATTTACTCAAGAATCATTCAGAAATCACCCTCTTCATAAACTTCTGTGGCCGAAATTTAATAGACATACAAACTTAGCATGAATTATTATGATCACCGCAAAAGCACAACTCTCTTTTCCCTAGTCAACCTAGTACAAGAATATATCCTTTTAAAAGGATTCCTGACATTCAAAGGAAAGAGGAGTATGAAACAACTGTCCTCCTGATCACCACCAGGGGAAATTAAAGTAGGAATTTACCTGAAATACACTGATAATTCTGATAACCGGAATTCGCTGTTGTGGTTGGTTTCTTTCCGTTTGCTCGGTGCATGTTAAGGTGGGGAGGGGAGGGAAGGCAAGGGGTCAACGTTGGAACCACCTTGGAGTGGGGAGGGGAGAGAGATCAACATTGAGATTAGCTTTGGGTTCCACAAAACTGTCTTAAAATGAACCTGTCTTTAAAAATATCACTGCAATATGCCCAAAATTGAAGTAAAAACAGAAAACTGTTGTTAGCTTCAGGCCAAATCATATCACTTTGTACTTAGGACTTCATTGTTCCTTTCTTTTTCTTGAGTGCCCCCCCCCCAAAAAAAAACCCTCTAAATCAAATATCATTTGGTTGTCTTGACCCCAGTAGGAGCTGGTAATCAGAGGTGGTATGACCTTGGTCAAGTACATAAAATTGACCCTGGACTCAGTGTCTTCTTCTGTATCATGAGGATGTAGAGCTGGAAACTAAAAAAGAAGCAAATCTATTGCCCCTGAGTCCATTCTGATGCATAGCGACCCCACAGTGCCTCCCAGGTCTGTGTGGAGCAGAGGGCACCTCAGTCTCCCACAAGGAGCTGGTGGATTTGAACGATGGTCCTCGGTTAACATCTGACCACTTCAATCATGCACCACCATGGCTCCTTTGGATGATGTCTGCAGTGCCTTCTAATTCTATAATTCTTTTAGTCTATTTTCACACGGTTAAATTGATCAATTGATTGATTTTTAATCATTTTATTGGGGGCGCTTACAGCTCTCATCGCAATCCATACATACATCTATTGTGTCAAGCACATTTGTGCATATGTTTCCATCATCATTTTCAAAACATGTTCTTTCTACTTGAGCTCTTGGTAACAGTTCCTTTCCCCCTCCCCCACTCTCAAAGCCATTTCTGCTATTACATCATTTATTATAATTCTGCAAAAAAATATTAAAAATTTAAGATATTTTGTTCCATACACTTCCAAAATCTAAAGTCGTGTGTGTTTGTGTGTCTGAACCAAAGCTGTGTGTGTGTGTGTGTGTGTGTGTGTATGCTCGTGCATGCGCCTTTATTTCCTGCCTCACCCCACCTTATGACCTTACTTTTAGTTCAAGGGTTGACTTTATTGTATTAATCATATCACTTTTTCATATAAATTGTTCTGCACGTGTGTTTAATGTCATTGATTTATGAGAATCTACACTCAAAGTGGCATCTTTATCATACTTATGAATATTTGTAACAAAAGACCAAAATCTATTTCCACCACTTTTATAGAATTCTTAAATGTCACTCAGGACAACTAAGAAATTCTCTGCCTCCTCCACATCCCAACCTATTCAGCTGTGTTGTGGGAGGAAGGAAGTATCATTTGCAAAGTGACTTTTTTTTTACCAATCTGGAGTATTTGGTATTTGAGTGTAGTAAAACTTGGTTAATAACTATGAGGCATGTATGCTAAATTACCTT